TAACAAGTAAAATCGTCATCAAGACTGACCCTACTCGAGATATGACACACAACCCCTGTATATTCCTACCCCTTCGACCATTAACCACCAAAATTTAATAGCATCAATCTCCCCCTAATACACAAACCTTCCTGTAAAATTTCAGAAAATTTTCGAAAAAAGTACAGGAGTTATTAAGCTTTAAAATGGATGAACAAAATTATAGAAAAACTCCTCGACTTTTTTTTGTTGTATTTTTCAATGTTTAAGGACCCCTAAGTCCAAAATGTAAAAATCTTCGAGGGGTCATTTATGACCAACCGCCATACCTCTGCCAACCGCTGCCTCTGTTATATGTAATAGCCGGGAAAGTAAAAATATAAACAAATTAACTGTACGTACATTTTAATTAATTAACTGCAATTTAGTTTTAAACTAATTAGCTTACATGTTAGATGTTAAAGTGAATTTAAACTAAATTAACTTAAATGCTAGTTTTAAGAATGGTTAATTGACTTTTGGGCAATCCTGTAAGTTTCTATAAAAATACGAAAATCGTGTAACATGTTAATATTTCTTTAAGCTTTTTTCAGCTTTGAAAAAATAAGAATAATAAAACAATCGTGTAAACAATATTACATAAATCAAATAAACAAGCAATGCTATAAAAGTGGCATCATTAGGAAATTCGCATGAATATCCACTCCATTTTTTCCAAAGAGCCCAACAACATACAAAACTTCCTATAAACATTTGTAATAATTGTAAGCATGTTATGATCATAGCGACGAAACGAGGAGGCCTGAATTTCAATGCCGAAACTGCGAAATAAGAGTACATCAAAGAATGAACAAGATTATTCATTACACCGAACCAATGTGCTACAGCTAGGGGCTTGCTAACAAAATACCAACACGACATTAATGTCATCATATGATGATACCAATGCAAAAATATCAATTTTCTTTTCCTAAATACTATAAAAAAGGTATCGCCCAACTCTACGAATCTGCTAATTATAAATATCAACGACCAGAATACAGTGGGTTGAATTGTTTGAAAATATTTACTATCACAAACAGAAAATGTTAGTCCAAAATCTCTGATGATGTGTACGAATCCAGGAAACATTCTTATACTTCCAATGATGCTATTGAGTGCCATTGTTAAATTCCACACGATCAACGGAACTCTTAAAGAGAAAGCTGTGCGATTCTTCATCATTTGTTGGAAACTAAATATTAAAAAGATATACAGAACTGAACAATAAACTGGCAGATGTAAATTATTTCTTAATAACTTTAGCCACGTTTCTACATCAATAATCTTCTCAAATTCATATGGTTCAATAATGTGAATAGTTGACTCGCTGGTGACTGAGGCCATCTTGATTGTCTTCGGATCGACCTAAAAGTATATTTTATATTATCCATTGATTTATGTAAAAAGCATAAATAGTATTTTAACAATGATATTAATGTATATTTTTAAATTTATAACATTTTTCGTTGTGTCTATCTGACGAAAAATGCTGAAAATTTACACTAAATGGCCACAAAACGAGTCTTTTCTATATCGACTTATTTTCTTACAGGCCTAAGTTACAAGGCAAATCATCAATTCAAGCTCACAATGAAAGGTGCTAAGTGTTGAGGGAGGAGGATCAAAAAATCGAAAACGCTCATTCTGAAAAGTTCTGAACTGACACGAACTCGAATCCGGATCCTCTAAAGAAGCAGACTGGTACCACTGTCCTATTATGCTCTATCGCCTCCTAATAGAGGATAATAGAGTAGAATAGGTTAATAATATATTTCAAGAAATTCTTTTATATAATATATTATAATAATATAAGGAACAGAAGTAAGATGAAAAATTATTTATTCTACATCTTATTTCTGTTCCTTACATTATTTCGCTATCTAGCTTTTTCTATTCAGACACGAAGCCTTCGGGAATCATATGCTTAAATAAATATACAGTACTTGAAAATTAAACTCATTTTTAGAGATTTAACAATGTTAAATTCATTTAAATATTACGTAACGTTTTAAACTTTTATTCATAAAATATCAGATATTAATGAATGAACTTTTATGGTTATTAATTAATTATATTTGTGATTATTTAACTCGAAAATTAATTGCCAAGCTTAAATAAAGATAGGTTTACACGATGCAATCGTAATTTATGCGATCTTATTTTACACAAGTAACTTTATTATTATTACGATATTATAATATAATAAATAAAAAATAAATAAATGTTGTTATACATATAGAAATTAAAATATTGCATTATATGCTCACGATGAGATAAAAGTCGGCATGGTAGCTGTACAATAAGCCTACCGCAATGGAAGATTATATACGATAAAATATTGATCTTGAATGAATTCGAACCCAGGAATCTGAGTCGGAAAATCGTTCCTCATATATTAGTGCAGTATATTATGTCTCCACATGAGAAAAATCTAATCCCTACGGTAGACTATGTTTTCATTAGAATTTTTAAAAATTAATTATTTATTTAATTTTTACAAAATTTTATTTATACAAAAAATACAAAAAAGTTTTGATGGAAAAATACAAAAAAAAAATCTCAAAAATACATCAAATCAAAGGAACTGACGAACTAGTACAGCTAAAATATCATTGAATGGCGAGTCAACTTGCATATTTGTCCACCAATACTCGGCAAATGTCCTAGCAGGAGATTCTCGAGTGTGTCACCCCTTAATCAAATCGATTTCAACTTGATATGGCTCCAGTGGCATTCGATTCGTTCAATGTTTGCACCAATCGTAGATCAATGAAGTTTCCTTGATGGATGATCATTTGACGGACAAAGTTGAAGCCAGGCCAATTGCAGATATTGTCGTATACTGTCCACTCATCATGATCATGATGCTCAAGACCAGATGAGATGCTCCGTTGGATAAACAGCCGCAAAGCATTTTTAAAGTTTTACGTATTATTTTTAGTGTTCTAAACATTGCAGCCCCGCATTAAAACAAATGAACACGAATTAAAAGCAAATAATCGCCGATATACTTACTGTTAGCATCACTAACAAAAAGTAATGACTCCACGCCCGACAATGTTGCCAGACGTTCTGTTTATCGGCCTTTATTTTTGTTTTAAAAAATTAAAAATTTCTAATGTGGTTCTATACAAATACCCATTCCTCATCCCTCATCCATGCTAGTTCGACTTAATTACAGGTCAAGCTCCCTGTAAATGCCATAATTATAGCTGGGTATTTACTTTATAATGTTCTGGCAACTTTCATTATTTAATCAGTCAATTAAAACAATGCTTTATTTACGGACCAGGATCGAAACTAAATCGACTCAAAAATTATCATGGGTGCATCTACCCAGATATGTCAAACCTGGTTTCTCTCTCCCTACACCCTTCTGTGGAGTTAACATACAATAGGAATGGTTAAAAAGAAAAAAAAACCCTTCTTAATGTCTATAGTGTGAAAAGAGTTTAAACAAATAAAAATAAGTTTATTTTTAAGTTTTAAGTGATCAAATAAACATACTAATTGAACAAAATTAGTACCACTGTATAAAAATTCATAATTTTGTGTTTAACAATAAAATATTGATGTATTATTAAAGCTTATTTAAAGTAGAATTGTTGCTGTTTTAGTCAAAGACCCTTCAACAAATGACTTATTTTTATTACTACTTGCATATAAACTCCCTAGACACGCTTATGACTCACTTGTCAGATCTTCATTGTTCTTATTTAAAAAGAAAATGTCAGAAATATTATAGCAACAATTCTCTTTATATATACGAACAAATCAAAGTATTAATCACAATTTAATATTAAAATTTTATTTTTCTGTAAAACTTTTTATATAAAAAATATGCTAATTTAAAAAATCATTTTCTTATCCAAATACAAATATATGAAGCTGTAAAAAAGTAATAGTTGATTAAGCAATTAGAAAGTAAACAATAAATGCAGGTAAGTGCCATCTTGACTTCTTTCTTGTATTTACTCATTTCTAAAACATTAACAATAACTTTTTTATTTGTTAAAGAAAAAGTAAAAGTAATCTGTAAATGCTACTTATTGTGACCTTTTGATTTCTGGAAATATTACAGCTAAATAACAATACACTTTTTGTAAAAAAGTACCTAACTTAGATTTACAATATAATCCCCTTAATTTATGTCTCTAACCTCTTAATTTACTGTATACTAAATTAATCCCCTTTATATAAACTAAATATTAATTTAATTAACCCCCTTAATATAATTATTTATATTTTTTATTAACGTTCTTAATTTACTTCTCGGTATAAAATTAAATAAAACCAAAAGTAAACTTTTAATTATCATACCAAAAAGCGTTTCTATTTTTTAAATTACAAGGAAAAATTTAACTTTTTTTCGGGTTGTCCTCAATCTCGGGCTTATTTCATTTGCAAAGTACAGTATACGAATTAAGAAACTCATCACTACAATGCAACTGAACGGTATTATACGGTATATAATAATATTATAAATAATAAAAGTAGCACATATAACATTAATTACCAAAATATTTAATAAAAATAGATATTTACAATAAAATGAATCGAATATACGAATATTAATGAATATTATTAATCTTGATTGCGTATGAAGATACTGATTATGTTTTCGAAATAAGTAAATACAAGAAAGAAGCCAAGATGACACTTTCCTGAATTTATTATTTATTTTTTAAATTGCTTAATTAAACTGCTAAAATATTTACTTTTTATAGCTTAAAATATATTTGGGTATTTTCTGAGAGAAAAATAATTCTAAAAATTGGAATATTTTTTTAATAGAAAATTAATATTAAATTTTTATTTAATAAAAGTTTATTTTAATTGAAATGCATCGATTTGTTATTGTTTTAAGGAGAACTGTAGCTATGATATTATTTAATATTTTTTTATTTAGTATGATTGATGAGGGTTTGAGTCATAAGCGTGTCCAGGGAGTGTTTATAGTACTGCAGAACTCATTGACTATGAAAAGCAATCAAGTTTTTACTTTAAATAAAAATTTATAATAGTTTTTTGATTTTTTATTGTTAATGACTTTTGTTAAAAAGAATTGTTAGCGGTAACACCATCTGACATTATATATTTTATTAAAAATAATAAAGATCTGAACCAGAAACATGTCTAAAAAGTGCTTTAGAAATCCCTATAAAAATTAATAAATTTACAAACTAAAGCTCCAATACTACATCAACTTTTTATGGTTAAAGGCAAAAATATGAATTCTCCTTTTATAATATTTTTTTAAGTATTGCATTTATTTAGTGTCCTAAAATTTTAAAAATAATAATAAAAGCAGTTAATAGTAGTTAATAAAAGTAACCTTAATAAAAGTTACCTTAATAAAAGTTTAACTTTTAATGCAGAAAATTTTTATACGGAATAATATATTAATTTAAAAATGTAAAAGCAAAATATTAACGAAAAATAGTTAATAAATGTAGACTACAATTAAATTTCATTAAAGGTAAAAATAAATTTAAAAAACTTTTAAAACAAAATATTTTCTACGTAAATATTTAATAAGACGAACGTATGAATAGAATTACCTGATATTTCCTTTTGTAGATTTAAAACTGAAAGCTTTGTTTAACCTGCGGCGATTTTAAATCGCAGGATTTTCAATGATGCGTTACTTTATAGCTTGACATCCAATCAAATTTGATGTTAGATACAATTCTGAGATACGTAAGATTTTTCTGTTTTATTTTATATATTTAATAAGGTCAGTTTAAGGGTGTTCATAATCACGTGATTTGGAGAAAACAATATTGCCTGCCATTCTCATTACATAAAGTTATAATCTTTTTACACGTTTTTTATTAACTTACTGTGTCTGTCCAGATAAAATCTCGCAACTCAATTTTTCACCTATTTCCCCATTTCCGATTTAGTTGAAACTTTGCATACAAATATATTTCCCATGAAAATTAATGCAAACAATTTTAGCAATAGCAAAATTTAGCGAAAACGTCTAAGTTATTTTTTAAAAAGCTGATAACAGATGACGCTACACGTGAGACAGGCTCCTTGCTGCTTTACAGTAGTACTGTCTACATAAAATCTTATAATTCAAATTGTTTACCCACTTCCAAAATAAATGCTTAAACAAGAAGTATTTCGATAATTCAATGTTCCTTACATAAAACTAAAAAGCAGAAAATAAAAATATTTTAAAAACTTTTTAAGAAAACGATTTTTTTTTAATCACAGAAATACACCAAAAGATTAAATTTTGGGGATTATAGTAGAGCATCGATTATCCGACTCAATTGGGGACTGGGGTTGGTCGGATAACTGAAAAAACGGATAACCGAAAAATATGAAAAAAATACATTATTAGTATAGTATATTAGTATATCGCTATTAACCTGCTTCGCGTTGAATTTTTATCGATGTTAAGCCTAACAAATTTTTTAAAAAATAATAATCGTCGTATTGTATCCTTAAAAATTAGAAAATTACGCCTTGTTTAAATAATGGCTCTCTTTCATGGTCGAGTCAGTGTTGCCAGCTAAAACACGTAAAAATACTATTAAAGTAGCCAAGACATAGCCAAATATTGTAGCGCCACATCACTAGCGGCCATTTGAATTTGCCGACTAGAACGCGGTCGGTTAACCGATGTGGCGGTTGATCGGATAATCGATGCTTTATTGTATATAGATTACCACCTATAGAATCTCGTTACTTTTAGTATATATCTGAACTGAGGGGACCGAGACGAGTTCAACGATACCATACTTTTGGACCGGAGACTTAAAATAAGAAAGTTATCATACTTTTTTAATGCTATCATGCAGACCACACCGTATTTACTAGTGTCGCCATCTTGCGGTAAAGTCTTCAAACCATTAAAAAAAGCACTGTGA